AACTAGTGCTAGGCAGGAAATGGTTTGCCTGTCTTGTGAAAATTTTCAAGATTTTTACATTTATTCCCATCCTGAATAAGGACAAAGTGTCAAAATCTCAAAAATATTCAGCAGCAGAAAACCCCCCAAAAAAAGTTTTGGTTCAGATCAATCAAAATGTTGTCTGATCATTTCAAAGAATTTAATCTCAATTTTGACCATTTTCTAACAATTTTAAAAGATATAATTAGCTTACATTTCTATCTGAAAAGTCATTTTGGAATTAGAAAACCGGAACTTTTCATTTTGAAAATGTCAAAACAAATTTTGCTTTGACAATTTCAGGGGAGGGAGAGGGTTCCAAAAAAAATTTGAGTTAAAAAATTTGTCAAAGCCACCCTTTTCCCCATAAACAGTTCTGGTTTTGACAAATGGACATTTTTTGACAAAAGGGTTTTGGTGAAAACTTTGTGACCAGCTCTACTTTAAACATAGTTTAGAACAGTTATGGTTCCTGTCCAGTGACCAGGAATACCATATTTAAAGCATTTAAAACTGGTTCAGCTAAAATGGTTATGACTCTTATTCAGTAAAGTGCCAAAGTAATCCAACTGACTTCAATGGGGTTGACTTCAATGAGAATACACAAGTGCTTAAGGCACATGCTTAAGTACATTTTTGAACTGGGGCCTTTGTTCCTATTATAGATTGTCCTAAATTACTCCAGGCACTGGTTTGTAAAGGCCATTGACCTGATCTGCACCACAGAGGTCAATGGGAATTTTGCGTCAGCTTATATTGCTTGATTCTGTTCCCAGTGAAGTCAATCAGACTTTTGCCATTGACTTCACTGGGAACAGAATCAAGCAATATAAGCTGAGACTAAACTAAGAACCATAGCAGAGAATTATGCGTATGTTTTTCTGTGACTCTGCCCTATCAGTCTTCAGATTGGGAGAGATGGGATTGGAAATAAATGTTGTAAATAGGACTTCCTTAGAGAAAAGTAAAACCAGCCAACAGTCAAATTCAGTAGGCAACAACATGACTTCAGAGTGACCTAGGGATTTGTGCTCTGTAACCTAGAAAGGTTAATTATGTTACAGAAAGGTCTTATTACAGAAGCACAAGATTTTTGGGCTTGTTATTTGTACTTAAAATTTAAAAAGTAGTCTTCATCTAGACAAATAAAATAACTTCATAAGAAGCAGTAAATTTTCATACTTTTAGAAAATATGTTTGTGTATATAGGTCTTGAATCTTACTGTCAAGCCCCAGATTAAACTCAAGTACAAGGGGCATTTTAGGGGAGGAAAACAAAGGAGTGAGCAAAAAATTAATTAATCCTGCCAGTGCCCAAGAAACATTATTATAGTTTACTTCTCACAATGATCATCTACCAGTGAATTATCATTTTTGAAGAAGCAGCAATAAATTACGATTTTAAAAATTAGGTTCATCATTAACACGATTACAAAAGTCATGTTGATGTAGTTTCAATTTTGGATGCTCTTTTTTCTCTGCAGGTCTATCCTTAGGAAATGCAGCTGTCAGTATCATTAGGCTGATATAGTAGCCTGCTATCAACACTTTCATTGTCAGAAAAAGAAAAGGTCCTTTTTGCACATTTTTTAGCTTTCTCAACAGGCTGCAAGGTGACTCAGAGCTGGCCCAGCACAAGAGCTATTGAAGAGGTATCTCTCCGCATGACTAACATAATGCATACAGCACATGCCAAAGACACCCATTGAGCTGCACTCCTCTGAATAATTTAGCTATACTTAAAAAATGAAGGCAAAATGTAATGACCCTCACAAAATAGGGAGTTTAAAAAGTGAGAGCAGGAAGTAAAATGGGTTTTAAAAAGAGAAAAATCAGAGGCCTCCATCTAAGACTCAAAGGATTGACAGGAACAGTATAAACAAATCCTTGATTACAGCCAAATAGAGTACAATAAAACAAGACTAACAGAAGAAAAAGGAAACAGAATATGAAAGCATGGTGCCAGATACTAGACTCTGACTTAACTATGGTTTTTAGAAATACCATGAGCTCCATCCAGAGAATTAAGTGAGAATTGCATGTTAAAAAAAACAACACCCAAGCGTGTTAGGATCCATTTCTTTGGGTATTTCGTTTATTTTTTTTTTTGGTGGGGGGGTGGGGAGGAGGGAAAGGTAGGCTGCTTTCAGTAGAACTGGTTTCAATTCACACTTACAGCATAGGGGTTTAAAATGATTAGAAGACATGATTTTGATTATGTGGTCTTATTCCAGAGAGAAAGAAACACACTTAAACTCCAGAGTATTCCAGGAGGAAAGGTGAGATTCCTTGAGATACAGAGCACAAGGATGCTGAAGAAGTTTTCAGAAGGCCACATAAGCTAATACTTGCTAAAAAGGCCAATTTTCAAAACTTAGACTGAGCTGGCTGCTCTCCCAAAGCCAGACTACGGCACTGGTTCTATCATAGGGATCCACTCCAAAGCCTGCCTAAATCAATGGGAGTCTTTCCATCGACTTCAGTGAGGTTTGGTTCAGGCTTATAGAAGGTTGTTGTTCAGCTGACCCCTGGCACTATCAGCAATAAATATGTGGAAGCTACTATTGAGGCTATCCCTATCACAAGCAGGATCTGCAGTATCCTCTTTGAGGTGATCAATAAGCCTATCAAGCCATTTGCAATACAGTGGAGTCACCTAAATATAAAGACATATGAGCCCATCAAGATCATGTTAGAAGAAGAGAATTTTTTCAAGAACATTTTCAATGCACAAAACCAAAACATACAAACAAAAGGTCTTTTACCTCTTGCACAATAAAGGAATAAACTTGCTACAGACTCAACTGCCCATGGACTAAAAAGGGACTAAATACCAGGGAAACTGACCTACTGCAGTAGAACTGATAAACAGGAAAACAACAACCATTAACTCCTTTCATTCCAACGTGGTTTGCTGACTCAAAAAAACCCCAGCTAAACAAACTATGTCTAGACAAAATGGGCTTTATGAAATACAGCCATTTCTGGGTAAAATGCTGGTGCTGTTTAACTACACACAGCAACTCTACACTGTACGTCATCAGGAGATAATACGGCCAAGTGGATAGAACAGTGGATTTGAACTCATGAGAGTTTCCCAAGGTCAGATTGTAATCACACATAGTTGGATTTGTCCTCAAGTTAACAATCTTATTCTTATAAAAATGTCATGAGACACTTAATTACCACAAGTAGCCAGAGCAGTTATTTTACATGTCATTGGCACAATGCAGGCATAACTGGGTGACATTCTATGGGCTGTGTTATACGGAAGTAGGGTGACCAGATGTCCTGATTTTATAGGGACAGTCCCGATTTTTGGGTCTTTTTCTGATATAGGCTCCTATTACCCCCCACCCCCGTCCCGATTTTTCACATTTGCTGTCTAGTCACCCTATACAGAAGGTCAGACTAGATGATCTAGTTGTTCTTTCTGGCCTTTCATCTGAAACATGGTGTCTCCAGCAACACAGAACTCTCTGTTATAATGCTGGGCTTTGGCTCAGTACTGACCCGGAAGTCAGAGGGCTACCTAGGTATCCACAGCAATATACTTTATGCAGTTGTTCCTCATCTCAAGTACTGACCCAAACAACCTCTCAACTTGTGAGCTCTGACAGGATAACAGCAGCATTATGGACACAGGCAATGACAGATTGTGGACACATTTAGACAGATGCACTTTCTGTGTAACAAACTAGTAAATAAATACTGGTAAAGCCACCAAATTTTCTGTTTTATAAGTAAAAAGAGAAAAAAATGGTGAGGAGACCATCCTCTCCTCCTGTGAATTCACGCATTTTTAGGGTATGTCAACACTGTAAAAAAAAAAAGAGAGAGAGAGAGAGAGAGAAAAAGAGATACCGACCCCTTGGCAGTGACTCTCAGAGTCTGGTTCAATTGACTTAGGCTCAGTGGGCTCATGCTATAGGTCTAAAAATAGCATTATAGACGTTCAGGCTCGGGCTGGAGCCCAGGCTCTGAGAGCCCCCCTTGCTGGATTTCAAAGCCCAAGCTTCAGCCCAAGCCTAAACGTCCACATGCTATTTTTAGCCCCAGAGTGTGAGCCCAAGTCAGTTGACCCAAGCTCTGACACTTGTGGTCGTTTTTTGCAATGTAGACAAATCCAGATTGTTGCTCTGTGTGCTGCTCCCTGTTTTCTGAGATCACTTTCCATGTCTCATATAGTGTAAGTGAGAGATGGAGGGACCTGGTTCAGGAAGCTTTCGGTACCTTCTAACATCCAATTTACCCTCTGCACTATAATGTCACATAATGTTTAAGTTATCATGAAGGGAAGTGCCAGCCTTGAGAATGATGTGATATCATTGCATTTGGGGACTGCTGATTCACTGATTGCTCGACATCACCCTTGGAAGTACTGTTTTCAGGGGGTAGACTTCCAACAGTGACATCAGAGAAGATGCCAGACATAACATCTTCATATTCACATTGCTAAATTGGAGCCTCTTCCTTCCAGGTACTGGACATCCTAAACAATCTAAACTTAAAAATATTTTATAGTAGTATTATTCATTTGTAGTAAGGTATAACCTAGAAAGCCCATTCAAGGATCAAGGATCATTGTGGCAGGCACTGTATTGACAAATAATGAGGAAGACAGCTCCTTCCCCAGAGAGCTCTCAATCTCCATGTCAGTCAGGGGTAAGAAGTGGACAAAACAAACAGGGTGAACATGGGAGGAAATGAGGTAACAAAATTAACCGTGCAGTAGAAAAGTATAAGTTCAGGTTTCTCAGCATTAGAACATAAGAACGGCCATACTGGGTCAGACCAAAGGTCCATCTAGCCCCGTATCCTATAAGTTTGGACAAACAGATTGCCAATGTGCATTTCTAAAATAGTAAACAATTAAATGGAACTTTAAACACAGCATTAAAACTAATGGCAAAGCTTCCATTGACTTCAACACAGCAGGATTTCACCCAGCATTTTAATTTTCCCACATCAACAGTTACCTTTTCATTAGCTTTCCTTTTTGTTCTTGCATCCATCCAGTCATTTTCCTTTTCCAAAATGTCGATAAAGGCCCAGCGAATCCCTTCAGTCAACTCCGCCATCTGCAAAACAAATTCTCCCCAATAAAGAGAGTCATGAGAAACTGACTGTGAGACTAACTGGGTATATGAATGACTTGTGGGATAAGACTACATCTCTCTCTCTGTTTATATGACACCCAAGTCTCCTTCCTTCCCCACATACCTTCCTCCCTCTCTCCCGCAACCCTGGGTTTTCTAGTCACAGAGTGCTTGCCTTCATTTTCATCTCTACCAGCTACACTACACAAGTTTCTGACTACTGTTCCCTCCACGACACAATAATGAACAGTCATCATGAGAATGCCTTTCTTGTGCTCATGATGGACGTGCTGAGAGAACAGCAGAAGTCTTGTGAAATTCCTGGCCATTTGTTTCCCAATCACATGCGTATAGTGCCCAGTATTCCTTCTGATTGACATTCATCCAAAAGAACCATATTTGGGCTGTTTGCATCCTTACCCAAACACACAGCAGAGCTCTATTATTTATCCAACTAGCTTCATTTGTGGACTTTTACTGTAATTTAAATAAGTACGGTTTATATGGCTGGTGGCAGCAGCTTGAACACCCAGCTGGGCCCAGTTTTCCTTGGTTTTGCACCTTGGATAGTAATTTATATTGGCACCACAATTCTGGTCTGGTAGCATGTTTCATCCACTTGGCACAGGTATAAAATGACTACACAAGGTGTCACGGAATTTCAAAAACAGGAATAGCAACACTTAGATACTAGAGGGAGAGACATTAGAGAATAGCCTAAAATGATACACCTCAAGCAACTCCATGGCATCTGATCCCGAGTGAAAGATTATTCTGCTGGTCTAAAGAGTGGAAATGTTATCCGTCTTATGTATTTGGCTGGGGGAGTTGAACAAGAGAGGTGCTTGTTTCTACTTGCATTGACAGGTGAGGCTGAAGACATAGGCAATTACTAAAGACACAACCATGGCAATAAAAAAGGGCTGAAGTTATTGGAGCTGGATTAGGCCTAAAAGTTGGGATAGCAAAAGACATTTAAAACTAATCTAAGGATTCAAACCATATCACTATATAAAGTTTATCACCTGTGTTAAACTTAAAAATAAACAGAAATGTCAATTAACATGGACATGCAACATGTTAATCAGTAGAGATGGTATCTTTAAAATGTCCTTTTGGGAGTAGAGGGACCCTGAAAAACATTGTTTTCAGCTGAACAGCCATGAATGCATCAGACTCTCATCTTGAGCTTGTTGTGCGCCTCTCTAAAATGAAAGGAAAGCACTTGCCCTCTTTATTATTCAGTTTCCTCCCCTCTTTTTTTAATATCTCATTACTTTAGAGACAATATAGGACAACCAGAACAAAACATTAAATATGACCAAACCATCTCAGTAAACGACATCAAGGGACTAAAGTAACTTAAAGAATATTGATGGCAGAGCACTGACTCAATTAACTTAGTGCACTAATGAGGTGAACTCCTTGTGTTTGGAGGCTGCAAGTTCAAACTCAAGCTCTGCAATTGGACCCTGGTGTATATTTAGGTTTTATGCACCAGCTGTAGCAGTAGGGGGTGGGAGAAGAAACCTATTCATATTATCAGAGGTATTACTGAAATTGCTCAGGCATAGCTGTAAGAAACACTGCAGAGACTGTAGGTCAAAAACAATACTATATTTAGACACAGATAATATTTTTTTTCATAAAAGGAGGAGAGAGAAGGCATGCATGGCATGAGACATCATCAGTGACTAAAACCTGAAAACACCATACGATCCATAACTCCTGATCTTCTTATCATGGATAGCTACCTACTCTCCTTTAGCTAAGGAAAAAATGTTCTCGAAATCAGAATGGCTTTCCTAGTTTAAGAAAGGGGAAACGAATGGAAAAAGAGGAAGAGAAAAAATTATTGAGAATAGATTTGAAGAGCCACAGTTTTCAAGGTTTCAACCAGATTCAACATGACCTCCAATTTTGTTTCTGTGCTCACACTCAGGGCAGCTCTACTCTGGAAGCGCTACATCAGTGCAGCTGCACCACTGTACATCTGCTAAAAACTCTGTATGCCGGCTGGAGAGTGCTCTCCCATCGACATAATTACGCCACCTTCAGAAGAGGTGGAAGCTATGTCAGCGGGAAAGCGTCTCCCACCATCATAGCACCAGTGTGGACAGTGCTTAGGTCGCTGTAACTTGTGTCACTCGGAGGGCGGGGGGTGTGCCTTTTTCACACCCCTGAGCAACGTAAGTTAGATCAACTTAAGCAGTAGTATAGCCCTGCCCTCAGATAAACCTTTCTGGAGGTCATTACACTAGGTTTGTGAAACCCCTTGTTTTTTTTCCCTAACAAACTGTAATATAAACACCACTTTAGGAATTCAGTGAACGATCAAGGAGCTGAAAAAGTTGGATGTTGGAGTGGAAATTCTAGTTCAAAGACAAAGGCTTACAACAGTGACAAAGGGAATCAGACCATTATTGAAAATATAAGGAACAAAGACTTTGCCAAACCAAATCAAACCATTGGTCAATTTGGGCTACTGCCTTTGACAGCAGCCAACACCTGGTCCTATAGATGAAGCTGAAGAAACTTGTGATCGACTCAAGCCAATAAATTTAGATCAGGAGACTGGGCCTGATTCACAAATCACAAATCCTGAGTTTTGATCTTTAGATATGAGCTTCCCCAAAATTTGGGACAGAGATCAGTTATGGATTCCCTATGCTTGCTCAAACTTCTGGGTAGGATATTCAGAATGCATATAGTCAACCATGCAATGCTGCACTTGCAGAGAGGAGATCCTTCTTGACCCTCACAGCTGAGAAGTCTTGGATCAGATCCTCAAGGTGTTCTACAGTTCCAATGATGATGGCAGTTGGCACCTGCTGATGAACCTTATATCCTGCACTACAAGAATTATCCTTGTCTTAGTAGTCATAACTACAAGTGTTATTCATGGTGAAAAAAATTATCTGGATACATTTTTAAATCCAACTACATATTTGTCTCAAAGGCCTGAACTGGCAATGAATGCACCAACTGAATTTAGCTGGAGGGAAAGGAGGGATTTCCTTTTCTTTGTTCTGTTTTTCCCTACCATCCATTTCACTGAATAAGTGAAATTTTTAAAATCATTGCATGTGGAAAGTCTCTCTTTAAAGCTAAATTCAACTTCAAAATTATTCTGCTGGGAGGAAGAAACTAATTAAAAGTTTTCAGATAGAGACTGAGGAGGACTTACCATTTCTCTCTTGTCTTCTTGAAAGTGGACATCCACAAACATCCTGCCAAGGACATAAGGGAGTGCTCCTTCTATAAAGTTTACACATTTATCCCACTGAGGCAGTAAAGATGTAGTTCCCTGGATTACCTGTTGGCATTGCACAATAAACCATCAGAACATGCCATTTGAGAAAAACCATGGAAATAACTCAGTATCCTCATGGTAAAATCTGAAAAGTAACAGGCACACATAACCTAACATATATAACAGCAGAATCATTTTACTATTTATGTCTGCATTTTCGTTGTCTTCAAAAAGGATTTACACCAGCTGAGGATCTGCCTCCTTAAGGTCTAATTAACCATTTAATGAGCAGGATGCAGCATTCTGCACCAACTTCAAAATCATCCAACTCCTTTGATCAATCCCATTCCTCTGAACCAGACCTGCCAGTAGGATTGCAAAGGATTGGGGTAGGAACTACTGTAGGTGGAAGGTCATCAGTCTGAATGCCTTCATGGGCATTTCTGGGAGGGCAGTAATATCAGTGTGAGAAAGAGCGCCAGCACGAGTGGAGGCTATCAATGAGTATGTGAATGAAGTAGAAAAGTGAGAGTGTAGCAAGGCACCGCTGAGTGAGGGGAGTGGGGCAAATGTGCGTGACAGTATAGAGGGGCATGAATGTGGGAGGTAGGAGAGGGCACTGGAACCTTTGTAGAAATGGGGAGGCCCAGACCAAAAAGTGCCTGCTCTTTCTCCCTCCATGACTGGCTGCTCCAGCAATGGACCTCCAGCAATGGTCCCACAGCAATTCCGAGTGGGCAAAGGTGTAATTGCAGCACCTCCCTGGCAGAATCTATTATTCTGCGGGTGGTGGGGGGTGGGGAATCTGCAGGGACATGAATTCTCTGCTTGTTTCTTTTGTTAAAAAGTGGGGGGCGTGGCCCCTTGTTCCCTCAGTTCTGGCACCAGTGGCCCTAGTGCCTGAGAGAGAGCAGGAGGTGCAGTGTGCAATTGTGAGAGAGACATGCATAGTTGGATGTAGAGTGAAAGTCCAGGGTAAGAAAGAGGGAATGAAAGACAACAGACACAGTCGCAAGACAAGAATATACAGAATGAGTAGAAGGAAGAGGCTAGATGCAAAAAGCATCAGAAAAATAAGAGTGAGGCGAAACGTACTGAAAAAATAGAGGGAAAGTGATAATATATATAATAGAAGGAAAGAAAGATTGGAGTAAAAGAACAAAAAAAAGAAGAAAAAAGCCATGGAGATAAAGTTAACCTTTCATTGAATAATTTGTAATGGCAAAAAGTTTAAATAATGCAGAGTCAATGTTTGACATATGCATATCTTTTGACTAGCCATTTTATTATACCACAACTCCCTTCAATGTACCAAACACGATTTTGTTTGTGGATTGGGCATTAGGCTATAGGAGGAGGAAGAACTTTGAGGATGAGGAGAGTTAGCAGGCTGTCAGATCCCAGTGGGACAAAAAATTTCACGGGTGGTGTTGCAGGAGGAGGTATCTTGGCTGAGAGAAAGTGTCAGCATGTAGGCTAGTTAAAATCTATTGATTGCCTCCACCACTTTGTACCCGCCAGCCTTGCTCTGCTCCCATGGGCAGTGGATCTCATAGACGGGGGCGGGGGGTGGCTGAGCCTGCATGCTGTCCACCCGGCATGGCCCTGCCCGCATGCTGTCCACCCGGCACTCCAGGGCTCGGGCTGGGGGCTCTGGGGCCGCTTGAGCTGGCCGGTGGCTATGGTGGGAGTGCTCTGGGCTCCGGCAGGGGAGTGAGGTGTATGGAGAGGGAGAGGGGTGGGCCTTGGGCAGAAGGGGAGGAGCCGAGTGCTAGCCTCCCCCAAGGCCTGCTCCCCAATTTGTTATCGGGAAAGGAAGAAATGCCCGTAGTCACTCAGGGCTGGTCTACACTGAAGGTGTAAAGTCGACCTAAGTTACACTACTTCAGTTATGTAAGTTACGTAAATGAAGTCGACGTAGCTTAGGTTGACTTACCGCTATGCCTACACCATGCTGTATTGATGGGATATGCTCTCCCACCAACTTACCTTTCTCTTCTCTGGGAGGTGGAGCACAGAAGTCGACGGGAGAGCACTCTGCTATCAACACCGCATCGATCACAGCAGTACTGATTTAGCCATAAGTATAGGCAAGCCCTTAATGGAGCCCCTTTCCAGTCAATTAAACAGCAATGTTGATGGACTCTGAAGGGATTTGTGTTCATCTTTTATCAGCCCAAAACATACTGGCATGTGAAAATGGCCATCAAGGAAGGAGGAAGGTGCAAAATGGAGGAAAACAGGGATCCTCAAGATTTTAATGGTTTCAAACACACGTTCAGGGATTTTTTTTTTGGCAAATGAAATCTTTGTTTCCTCTGATGCCTTGTCTCATCATGTAAACGTCACTTGATAATTCCCCCAATGAAATGGAAAGAATATGTAAAGTTTAAACTTACTATAAAGTAACCACACATCCAGGGAGTCTGTGGCTTACAGGGCTAGTTATGGGACACGGGGTTCTCCAGCTTTAAGTCACTGGTTTGAATCTAGCTTTGGTAGGTAACACGGTGTAGCTGAGGCCAAGCCTGGCCTGCTATGAGTCCTACTAGCATTACAATGGCTAGTGTAGAAAAATGGCTGATACTATAAACAAAGCAATTTCTCAGCAGTGATGTCTGGTTTTACAGCCTATGAAAATGACCTTCCACTTTTAATTAATTGTGTGATTTTCCCTCCCCTTCCTCTGCAAAGTACAAACCATTTTCATTTTAAACCTCTTGATGCCAAGATTCATATTCTTCAGGGCTGAAACCCATTGCCAGGCAGGGGCATGCTGCCCACTCAGGGGCCTGTCTGTACTGAGGGTTCCATTTGGGATCTTAATATCCTGCCAGACTGGTTATAGGTCAGCACTCTATTGTACTTGGCCACCAAGAAGTGCCTCATAAAAAGATGTACTAATAAACATGTAGCTGGGATTGGACAGCCAGTTGCTCACATTTTTTCATAAAGAAAATGCTTTTCTAACAACACCTGTTTGAATGTGATGTAACATTAGTCTGCAGCTTTTGCCTTTTTCACAAAACAATGCATTTGATGGTGCTTTTTTTTTTTTGGCCAACTCTAAGAATGTTCAAATGTTACTTATCAAATGGGAAACTCTTAGGTCACTCCATGTGCCCATGCAGGAAGTTTAGAGCAGAGCTGAGCATATAATGGCTTTTTCGGTGTAGGGGCCAAACAAAACAACATGGTAATAATTCTGGTTTGAGTAGATTACAAACCATAAGGGACAACTGTGATCATCTAGTCTGACTTTCTGTATAGCACAGGCCATAAAACTCTCCCCGCCACCCCCAATTTCCTACAGTGTATCTTTGTTGGTTCAACTCAAACCAGAATTATTACCATGTTTTTTGTAATATTGTTTTTGTAATGTAGTTTTAATGTAACTATTTGATATTATTAAAATCCATTCACATTTGTTTTATATGAATGGAAATATTAGTCAACAATTTATTCATCAAGGGGGTTTTCTGGTGTGAGTAAAGCTGATCAAATTACAGTTCTGTATAAACCATGCAATGAAACCGGATCAGGGCGCACTACTTTTTTGTAACTGCTTTTAATGCAAGTGATGTGCATTCTATTTATTATGTTGTGTTGTAGGGGGGGAATCTCTGTACAATAGGGCACTACAGATTTCAGTAGGGGCTTTTTCACTGATTTACTGGGCTTTGGATCAAGCACCAGGTGACTATGATAATACAATGCACAGTATGTCATCCTCTGGATTTTTACACAATCTCCAATTGCTCACAAACTTAATAAATTGATGAACTTACTTTGTTCTATTTCTGAGGAATCTCAGGGCATTGAATTTTAAGCAGACCCCAAACATTCACACAACATAACTGAAGAAGATATAGGGGAAATTATGCATATCTCTCACTTGATTTTTTTTCTTCTATACTTAGTTACCAAAGTCCTGCACTTAATTAAACATGTATTGGATAGAGTCCAAAGACGTGTCATCAGACTCATGCTCTGTTACTTAATATCTTACTTCCAGAAAGGAGAGTATACAACTACATAGATATGGACCTTTGAAAGAAAAGAAGGGAGGACTGGAAGTAAATGAACAGAACACACATATCCTGGAATCAGAGATATGGTATTAATCTTTTACTCTGAGCTCTAGCATTTTCTCTCACTACTGCAGTGATATGCATTTTTTACTGGATCTGGTAAGAATTACATGTGTTTGTACATGCACAAGAGATTTGTATGATTTTTGACCTATTACACACACAAAAACTACATTAGAAGAACATTAAAATGCTCCAGAGTCAAGCATTTAAATGTTAAGAAATGCCAGAATGAAGGTTGCCTGTGAAACAGTAGTAGGCTGTCATCCTCTACACTCCTGAGTCCTCACATGAATTCTTATTCCCATTCTCCTTGTGCATCCAATCTCCCTCCCTGATCTCAGTGTTTCTCCCCAGCCAAATGGCTCCCAGTTCTTCCCATTTTCCTGACTGGCTCCTAATCCCAGCCTCTACCTCAGCTACCAGTCCCAGGCTCCTGTCCTCACCATGGCTTCCAGGCTCCTTGCCAACCCAGCAGGGGGATCATTGATGAGCACAGTGCTGTCAGTTCCTGTGCCCAGACCCACCATGGTCTGGAGCAGTAATTACAGGGCAAATCCTTCTGAACACCTATGCTGAAGCATGCTCAGTTGTTCTGTGGGGATGCACCTGAGCAGTCTGATCACACATAGGAGCTATGTGAAGAGGGACCATGCTCAGTTGCTTTGTGGGGATGGTGCATGTGCAGTCCGGTCAGCACTAGAAGCTGAGAGAGGCTTGACCATGCTCAGTGAAGGTAGAATCTTTAGAGATTTTAGCTGGTCAAAGTCTACTCAGCACATACCTATAACTTGATCGGATTTGGACATACAGTATGTTTATGGGGATGGCAAAAGACATATCCCTGACACAAAGACCACCTCAGTTGCCAATTTTTGAGTCCCTGCTCCAAAGTGTGAGAGAGAACTAGAGCTGTTTAAAAAATTGCCGGAAGTTTTTTAATATGGGATAAGCAGCCCATTGGGATAAGCAATATGGGATAAGCAACTCAATGCGCAGTGGAAGTCAAAAAAGTGAACAGAATGTTAGGAATCATCAAGAAAGGAATAGATAATAAGACAGAAAGTATCATATTGCCGCTATATAAATCCATGGTACGCCCACATCTTGAATACTGCGTGCAGATGTGGTCGCCCCATCTCAAAAAAGATATATTGGAATTGGAAAAGGTTCAGAAAAAGGCAACAAAAATGATTAGGGGTATAGAACGGCTTCCTTATGCGGAGAGATTAATAAGCCTGGGACTTTTCAGCTTGGAAAAGAGGCGACTGGGGGGGATATGATAGAGGTCTATAAAATCATGAGTGGTATAGAGAGAGTAAATAAGGAAGTGTTATTTACTCCTCCTCATAATACAAGAACAAGGGGCCACCAAATGAAATTAATAGATAGCAGGTTTAAAACAAACACAAGAAAGTATTTTTTCACACAACGCACTGTCAACCTCTGGAACTCCTTGCCAGAGGGTGTTGTGAAGGCCAATACTATAACGGGGTTCGAAAGGGAGCTAGATAGATACATGGAAGATAGGTCCATCAATGGCTATTAGCCAAGATGGGCAGGAATGGTGTCCTTAGCCTCTGCTTGCAGAAGCTGGGATTGGGTGACAGGGCATGGATCACTTGATGATAACCTGTCTGTTCATTCCCTTTGGGACACCTGCTATTCGCCACTGTCAGAGGACAGGATACTGGGCTTGATGGATGTTTGGTCTGACCCAGTATGGCCATTCTTATGTTCTCATTTCCCCCCTAGCCTCTCTCTTACAGATGACTGAAATATTTTGGAAGAAATTCAGCCTAAGATAGACACCCAGAATGTAAAATTCATTCCAAACTATTTGGGGAAGGTTATAAGCAACTGAAAACAGGGTCTTTTAATTGGAAGCATCAGGCAACAAAGATAATAGATGTCTATGATGGTCTATACTATTATGTTCACCACTTTTACAAGACTATGATAAATTTTGCACAAATTATGCCTTGTGAGGTATCATTTGAAATGTCATAATCTGCTGAACATTATTGTCCTGATAAGATATGTGTATCAATATTGTATATGAAGTTATAAGATTCTACTATGTATTATTGCTGTAACATGCTCCAAGTTTAAGAAAACCAGGCCCAAATCAGTTTCTCAGAAGCAAAGGACAGACCAACACCCAAACCAGGAGTTAAAAGTCTATTGAATGTGTAAGCAGCCATTCTCCAGCAACTGTAAGGTGTAAACAAGAAATTTGCATTTAATCACAATGGGCTGTGTATCACCATGACTCAGCAAGGATGTTTATAGCACAAAAAACTGAATTATAAAAAGAGAAGGAAAATGCCTGACTTCACTCCTCCTCCAATCTCTCTGCTCATGACATCAGTGAATACCTGAAGGAGACTGAACTAAGTGGAGGGGCCCCAGGCTGGAAGGAGACCTAGCTGGTGAAATTTACTGCAACGTATGGTGAGAAAAACCTTCATTTTGAATTTTGTTCATTTGTTAAATTAGCTATTAGTTTGCATTTTACTCTTTTGTAACCAATCCGTGTTCTTATGCATCATTATTTGTAATCACTGAAAATCTCTCTTTTGTAGTTAATACTCTTATCTTATTGTTTTATCTTAACCTGTGTGTTAGATTAAAGTGTGTGGGGAAACTCCATTTGGGATAACAGGGCTGGTGCATTATCATTTTCCTTTGATGAAATGATGGACTTTCTATGAGCTTGTACTGTTCAGAAGGATATTGAGCAGTTCAAGTCGCAAATTTCTGGAAGACAAGGCTAGGACTAGGAATTTGTGGGTGTGTACCTGTATGTAATTCAGGAGTGACTGGTCAGAGCACTCATGTATTTAGTTGGGAGTGAATTTTCATGCTGAAGTCTACGTGAACAGGTCAGGAGTGGATGTTCTGAGAGCAAAGCAGTGTAAAAGGCACCCCAGGCTAAAGAGTTAAGGAGACACCACCTTTAAACAGTTCAGATTGTACCCTGGAGAATGCCACAATGTCACTATCAGTCTCACCTATCATAAAAATTGAAAAATTTTAAACTTACCCGAGAAAATTCCAGCCACCTATACTGAAAACGTCGGCTGAGGTTAAATATTCTTGAATAAACCATCCTCCATACCAGATAGTTGGCAATAGTTCTGTTAAATCAGACATACGTATTTATCAAACATTTAATTCCCTGTGATGTACAACAAAGCACTTGTGGAATCAATATTTGAATGGCTTTCTGAAAGAGCAGTTTGAATGGAATGAGAGAAATTTCACCTTTAAAATTAATGATGAGCTATGACCAAATTGATAAAGTCCTATTACACAGAAGAAATTGCATGAAAACTGCCATTTACTGCCTGATTTCATGATAGGAACCATCTTCTGGAGAATGCTTATAACACATTAGTAACCTGATGTATACAGTTCATAGTTGTACTCTTTTACAATGCAATTTTCATTTAGGTACTCTTTACACAAATCATAAGTGCTATGCAGTGACAGTAATTACTTTACTGCTCTGTACAGAAACTACACGGTATCTCATAATTTTTGACTTGTAAATCAAAGTGCAGGTTCTCTCTCTTTATTAGTAAGACCTACAAATAATTATCATGAAACTAAAATAATGGATAATTAGCTACCATATATAGTCATTACATGGTATTAACTAGGGTGATCAGACATCCTGATATTAGGGGCTTTGTCTTATATAGGAAAATATGCTGAGCCCCCCAACCCCAACCCCTCACCCCCGGAAAAAAAAGTGTCCTAATTTTTCACATTTGCTGTCTGGTCACCCTTGTATTAGCACCTTTCATCTGAAAATATCAATGTGCTTTACAAGCATTTCTTCATTAGCACACTGAGAATTACTGTAGGCAAATATTAATATCCCCACTTTGCATATGGATAAACTGAAACACAGAGAGGTTAAGCTCCCAGATACTAGAGGGACTGAAAAATAGATAGGAGCGAGTTGTCCATCCTCCCAGGAGACCCAACTCCTGTTCCCCTTCTCTAAACATTAAACAACACACTCTCAAGTCCACTGTGTGTGGTTACTGTGATAGGGGTAACTAGCACCTTCTGTATGAGACATATGTGCACTGTAAAACACAAGGTAAGAAATTTAGATTTCACCTTCTCAAAAATACTAAAGTATTCTACAGTAATGGCCTAAACACTCTGGTACAGTCATACACAGGTGTGAATCATAGTAACTCTCTTATTCACTAAAGATTTTGCCCCTGATCACATACACTTGGAGTGTATTTAGCAAACATCATGATTAAGAAAAGGGGAACAGGATAATTTGGGAAGCATTTATGACTGAAGATAAAGTAACGAGCTCTATTATATGATCAGACAGATTGCACCACTTCTATATTGAAAACTGAAGGAGGTAGGTTGGAATAAGGAAAACTCTAAAGGTTCCCTTGTGAATATTTCCCCATAGCATCCTATGAGGCATAGGAAAGATTTGCCTTCCTGGGGCTAGGGCTGTGGAGCCCACTCAAACCTGGTGTTTCCCAGGAGACCTGAAAGAGGCCAAAGCCGTCCACAAGGAATCCCTTTACCTCAGCACTGACACTGGATGCCCTGTAGCCATGAGGTTCCCCAACAGTGGCTATCCTCACATACAACCTTCCTCTTCCAGGAAAGATCCATATGGTCAGAGCAGGGATAATAAGAACTTGCTCTGACTTCACTCTCAGCCTGACCACTACTTTCTCCCAAGCTTCCCCTTTTCCCATCTTCTCTCACTGTGGAAAGACCTTCAAGGGCCTGAAGGGAGAGGGACAGTGCCATGGCAACATCCAAGTCTCCTGCCACATGGGGGGAGCAGGGGGTGATATCCCATGCATGGAGGTAACCCTTCACTAGGATCTAGGTGGCAATCATCTGTCCTCCTGTACGTAAATATCCATGTAATCATATAACATATTGTGTCTGTTGGATGTTTTTTCAGTGATTAGAAATATACATGTCTAATACATAGTGTTATCAAGAAGATTAGCTTGCATGAGCTCAGGTTACAAGACTTGGAAGAGTTCTTTTTGTCGTGATTCAATTAATTGAATCAGAGACATTAAAAATACAGGATCAATAATGATACCGTGAAAGTAGCAGGTGTTTCCCAAAAAATGTTTGGTCAATGTAGGGTTTCCTTAAGCAATGACAAACTGAAGTATGCTGTAAGTGCCTACTCAGTAAAATTTCTGCCAGTGAGCTAATTTCCACAAGCCTCACATCTATCAGTTTCAAAGCGCTTCAGCGGGGCTGCGTCCATGCTCCTGCAATAACTATTAAGGCCCTGCATCTTATTAGAATCTAGAAAAGTATTTACAGGATTCCTGTGGATTAAAATGATAAAAGGCTTAATTTTTGTTGAAATTCTTATAAGGAGAAAACCCCATTTAGAAAGACCCCTACCATAAGGCAATTACCTTTTACAATTTAACACTTAAAAGCCACAGAAATTTAATTCTCCTTTGTGTGCAGTTCTTGCTCCACCTTGGGTGGTGTTTATCCTTGATTATGGGTTAGGAAATCTGTTCTGAGCTAAAAAAAAAAAAAAAAAGGGTGGGGAATGTAATTAGTGATGGATGAACTTCATAAATGGGCCTGATCCAAAGCCCATTGATATCAATGGAAGTAGTTCCATTTATTTCAGTGGCTTTTTTATCAAGTCAGCAATATGGAGGTGGGACTCAGTTTAGATAAATACACAAAGATTATCCAAATCTTATTTGAAACTGGATCTGCAAAATTGGGCTGGACACCTTTCAAGAATGGGTTATTTGATGAGATCTCTGGTGCTTCCTTTTTGAACTAGTATTTGAATCCCCTGCCACGCAAAAATATAAAGCAATTAAAAAGGTTTCATTTCAAACTCTGGATGAGGATTGGTTATTCTGTTTTCAAGAGCGTGGGAAAGAGCAGGGTTCATATTTTATCTGAACCTGTTTACCAGTCCTTGGCTTCTATTCTTTGTTTCTTCGGCCAAGTACACAAAGTACAAAAAGTTTCAGAGTAACAGCCGTGTTAGTCTGTATTCGCAAAAAGAAAAGGAGTACTTGTGGCACCTTAGAGACTAACCAATTTATTTGAGCATGAGCTTTCGTGAGCTACAGCTCACTTCATCGGATGCAAAGTACAAAAAGAATAAAGATAGAAGGGGCTAATTTCACCACTTTGGTTTAAAACAATAGTACTTTTCACTTATGTGTTGCCATTCACCTAAGGCTCTCAGAATGCTTTACAAATTATTTAATCTGCACAATGCCAGTGTGAAGGAGGCAACTGTTATGCCAAGTTTAACAATGGTGAAACTGAGGCACAGAAAATGTGAGCTATTTGCCCTGCTTCCCATACTGAGATGTAGTGCTGGAATTGAACACACAAGTCCCAGACCCAAGTTCTATGTAACTAAAGTTCTTGTTATTGTAATCCTGGGGAAGATTACATTTTGCCCTATTTTGACTGCCAAATGATTGCTACAGATGGAAAGTTTAGGATGATTATTTCTTAACAACGTGGTCTGTTAGTTTGTGGTATAGTCTCCCAAAGGAAGTGGTAGAAACCTTGTTTCTTGGGACATTTAGAACTAGACCAAGCATTTGTGATAACACTGTAAGGAACAATAATGCCTTGGCAGTGAATAAAGTGAAAAAAGACCTACATAAAATGCTAGAATTTTGTGACATCATGCTAGCATTTTTATCAATATTTATTGGTAGATAGATTTAATTTAAGATATAATTTTAGATTTAATATGAGCTCAACAAATATATCCACGTTTTCCAACTAATGGACTTCCTTGAGAGGCATAAGCGGTGCATGCATTTTTGCATTCCTAATTGAATTGTGGAACCAAATTCTGAGCACTCCTAAACCTCTCTCTACCATCCTCCAGCAGGGGCATATCCACAATTAATTTTGCAGGAGCATCCTGAAGTTCAAAGAGAATACTAGTCTTCAAGTTTTCTAAAAGTTTATTCAATTATATTCTATGGAGAAGTGAGTGTTAGTTATTTGTCTTTTGCCAGACCAGTAGGACAAGCAACAGGAAAGTAGTTCTTCAGTTTGAGTTCTGTTAGGGTTATAATCATTGTTACTGTAACAGTTACAAAGATTTGTATTTGGGATACAAATCCTTTTATTGCTCTCAGGTTATACATGGGACTGTTCTTCTCTCAATGTACACAAATTCTCCTTAACAAAAGTGAAACGGGCCTTGAGAAAAGAACAGATTCCTTATATAACAGATGTAAGTTAATATCTAAGATTCCTAGGACATATCATACAATATCTTGATTAAATTCGCTGGAGTTACTGTGAATTGATTAGAGCTGCGTGAATAATGGCCTGTGAAAAACTCATGCAGTGAATTTAGCTCCTATTCAGGTTTGTGTGTTGTCTCCAATCAGTCTGCAATTTTAATGAATTTGTTCACTATTCAAAAGGGTCCAGTGAATGCTCTGAGGAAACAGTTTTCAATTGCTTACAAAAAATTCTCTGTGAATACTTCATTGAATAATCCATACCTGGGGTTCAATATTCAACTTGAGTGATTTGTCACTTAATTCGCATGATATTGTTTCTGTTCTCAGAATGGATGACCTAACCTTTAAGCTGCTTCTTCCTCTATCTGAAACAAATTTCATTTACTTAGACTGTTTTCAGAGTAGGAGCCGTGTTAGTCTGTATTCGCAAAAAGAAAAGGAGTACTTGTGGCACCTTAGAGACTAACAAATTTATTTGAGCATAGGCTTTCGTGAGCTACAGCTCGCTTCATCGGATGCATTCAGTGGCATTGCGAATGCATCCGATGAAGTGAGCTGTAGCTCACGAAAGCTTATGCTCAAATAAATTTGTTAGTCTCTAAGGTGCCACAAGTACTCCTTTTCTTTTTACTTAGACTGTATGACTCTTTGGAGCTGGGGCAATCTTTTTTTTTTCTTTCTGTGTTTGTACATAACTTTCTACTATAGTCCTGGTCTATTACTGGGGTTCCTATGGCTACCACAATACTAATAAATAATAACAATTTTGTGCCTGAAAAGGGATGGAACTCAGTCCAAGTGAAAATCCTATTTAGATGCCATTGAAATATCCACAAATAATTTTTCTTGCTATTCACCTAGCTCCACTAATGATACTATATCTCCTGAAGTGATTCAGAAATTAATTTATGTTATAACCACTGAAATATGACTGGGACTTAAGCAGGAATCAAGGGGAATATATTAACACAGAAATATTAACACAGAAATATTTACTGTGACAATCTAAAATCAAGTCCATGTTGTTTGCATTAATTTTGCTGTTTAAACTCCTTTCTGACATTCACATGCTATATAAAATATGACATTTAAGCATTTATCCTTGAACTTATTCACCATTTAGGCAGATATAAGGCTCTGTGTATTGCTCTACACTTATTGGAGTGGTGGGAGAGGAGAAGTATTCTTTCCTGTTATTATTTTTTCCAAACTAGATAATAAAGTGACTTTCAGAGCCAATTGTGACATCCTAAAGAGTCCTCAAAAAGTTTTTTTGTTACTATGTAGTGAATCTTTGAATGGATTTTATGTATTAATGTATTTGTATCTTTGACAAACACATGAGTAACAATGGCCATATTAAAGTAACTGAATAAATTTATTTATGTTTAAGTTATCATGCTATAATTTACCATTTCAAACAATGTATGAATCGATTTTCTTAGGACTAGATGGCACAATATAGGCATAGCCTGTACTGAGGACTCTCACAAACTGCTGCCCTCCTTAAGGGATGAAGCTCAGTACATGGGGTGTGGGGAAACAGAGTCATGGCTTTGCCTACTCCCACACTTTTCATTTTCTTTGGGTCACCATGTGCCCAAGGGCAATAGTTAGGGAGCAGTTCTTGCACTCCAGTAAACACAGGGCCTGAACCTGTGCCCAGCTTATATGCCAGCCTCACAAGAGAGGGGAGGTTCTTTACTCCCCCTGCTGTACCCCTGCGTAAAGGCGAGGCAACATCTAGCTCTTAATTAAGATGCAGGACGCAATCCTCCCAGCACCTTACAGGATGGGACACTGAAGTAAATAAAATGAGCCTCTTTGCTGTATAGCAATATACGACAAGACATACACATAAAAGGACCAATTCTCCTTTGCCTTGCTACATGTGCAGTTGGTGTAAAATGCTACCAAATAAGCATTTTATACTCATTTTGCACGAATGAAACTGACTTTCCAAGGCGCAGGGCAATGGAGAATCAAGGCCACACAATGTGTATTGTTCAGTCATTTGAACGAGAAGTTCTGTGGTCATGTCTGTTTGAATTGTTTAAAGTAGGTTATGATAGCTGATTGTTTGGAGGTGGAACACTACTTTTTATTTTTAGTATTGCCTGATCTGCCTGATATTTTACAAGTATTCTGAATTTATGTAAAGATGTCGTTATTAAGAGAAGAAATACAGTGCAATAATATCAGAATAAAGTTTCTGCCTTGGTCTAGTATTTTTTAGTTCTTATATAGAGGACTTTAGTTTGACATGTTGTGACCAAGTAATATTATTGCATGGTTAGCAATAAACTGGTTTTGGAAAGACATTCAACCAAAAATAAAAAGATGGTAAGAGGCAATCATTACCTTACCCAAGGAGCTCCACAGGGTAATTCATAAGCTGTGAGGTAGTTTCAGTAATAAAGGAGTATTGCAAAGTCAGACAATTTAAATATATACATTTCTCTCTATACTAAGGGACTGTTCTTCCATGCCTTGCATCCCTGAGCAAAGTGGGTGCAAAATGCTACCATTCTGATCTAGTAGCATTTTACACATCCATCTCACAGGGGTAAATGACTACACAAGATGCAAGGCCATGGAGAATCAAGCCTTAAACGTCCGTTAGAATGGTGAGCTGGATGCACCTGTAATTGCAAACCTTACTGCAGGATCTTTTTTGTTTCACTTTTTTTTTATTTGAGTCAGAAATTGAATTAACACCTACAAGGCTTGTATCCTTCAGCCTTTATTCAAGCAAAACCGAATGGGAGGTTTGCCTGAGTAAAGACTTGAGCCAAAAGAGTGCTGAGCATCTGAGATTCTCATTGAAATGCCCTGGATTTGGCCCACCCTTTTGAGTGTAGTTGAATGCACAGGATAATACAGCAGACAAAGGTATAACACAGTCCAATGGCTGGAAGTTAAAGCTAGACATAGACATATTCAGACTGGAAACAAAGTACACATTTTTAACAGTGAAGGTAATTAACCATTTGAACAATTTACCAAGAACTGTGGTAGAGTCTCTATCACTGGCATTTTTTAAATGCAAAATTGAGTGCTTTAAAAAAAAAGGGGGGGGGAAGGATACACTCCAGGAATTATTTTGGGGGAGGTTTATGGCCTGTGTTATACAGGAGGTCAGAGTAGATGATCATAATAGTCCCTTCTGGCCTTGGAATCTACAAAACATAATAATCATCCTTACTTTTTCCTTTCTTTTTCTAGTATCCTGAACAAATCTTTGAAGTATTGGGGTGCACGGACAATCACGTTTTCTGAAGGACCTATATCGTTAAGGTGAGGGTAGAGTTTAGTGTCAATCACCTTCTTGATGTATCCCAGCCAGTCAAACTGAAAGGACAAAGAAAAGCTCAGTTAATACAGTTGACAAACAGAGAAGATCAGACATAATTAATTGGCAGGGTTCAGTTTAATGACATGAAGGTTTTTGCTTATTTAAAAGTTAGAATATATTTAATTTCATCATGACAAATAGTTTGGAACTTACAGATGCAGCTGTATTTAAAACAACAATTATAGTAGAGAATACCTGTTTGTACTAATGTTCATTTAAAATGCTGTCCTTTGCACATTTGAAGCAACTTCAGTTGTAAATGGTTAGTTACATAGGCCAGACATTAGAGCAATTTTCCAGTTAACTTCCACCAACCTGAGGGATCATGGTGCTAAGTTCAGATAAGTTCATTTTATTGTACATAGTCTCACTGGTTCGATTCTCCTGTGGAATCATTATCTAGAGAATATAAATGAAAATAAATATATGTTTAAACATCCTTCTCTTACTTTGTTAATACCCATCATATTGTTTGTGAGAACTACCTCAGTCTAGCTGCAAAAAAAAAAAAGTTCATAGCAACAAATTGCCTCCCGATCCTCAAAGGAAAGTTAGCTATCCTAAACCACAAAGCTAACTAATGTTATTTTAGCTTATTACACTTCAGTATGTTATCCAGTATTTTTTCTTTTCAAACTTTTGGCCAAATTTTGCTCCAATTACACCACATTATATTACTAGTCACTCCATTCACATTTTAGCAGCATAAGTGAGAGCCAGATTTAGTCCATTAATACTTCTTCACTCCGTCACCTCAACTAGAAGTCCATTCCACCTCCTCAAAAGCATCTGGTCAAAAAGAAATACTACAGAGAAAACTAGGCCCATTCATAAATTATGAGGATTATCCAGATTCCAAGGTTTCAGTTTGTTCATAATAAAAAAAATAGTCCAAGCACAAAGTTCAGATCCAGTTCAAAATGTCCTCAAAGTTCAAAGGTGTTAGGATTTCAGATGCTGGTTCCAGCCTAATTCTAAGGTAATTTCTATACAATCAACTCCATTTAAACTGAACATGACACAGATGGCAAGACTCCAGATCAACCAAACTAATGGCAGTTTTCTGACCCAAATTCCCAAACCAAGTTTCTCTGGCTTTTGCTTAAGCCATACAGAAAATATGACGTCCCTCAGATATTTTAATTCCCGTCCCCCACTGCCCCTCACATATGTCATCTTTTTCTTCCCCCACTTCCCACAGGTTCTACTCCCTGAAATCTTCCCACTTTTTCCTGCTTAAACTTCCATTTTTCTCCATGCCTACAGGTACCACTCCTCTCCCCCGGCCATCTGACAAATCTTTAAACTCATCCTTTATGCTCTACTTTCTTTCCCCCCACAAAATTCTCCTACCTGTGTGTAGTTCACAGTCACTCACACCTACCTGAAATCTTAGCTTTTCTCCTCCACACAAGTCCTGCTTCCAACATTCCCTCAAACTCTCTCTATACACTCCATCTCCTTTCTAATCACAGGATCTGTTCTCAGAAATATTTTCCCTCCATTCTTGCTACTTCTCTCCCTGAACAAGTCCTCCCCAGGTAAGTTCACTTAAAATGAATATAGGGCACACAGTATATATATATAAACACAAGAGATAAAAAGAGTTAATGTCTGTCTTGTAGTTACACAGGGATGTTTATACAACCAATTACATTCACTAGGGACTGGTTAACAATCAAAACCATTGGACTCAGGTCTTTATTCATATCTATATTTTAGGGCATTTTTTTTTCTTGAACAGCAATAATTATCACTCTCAGTGTATTATGTTTCTCAGTGACTATTACTGACCCTGACGGCCCTTAGGGTCCATTTCCTCTATGTGGCAGCTTCACATGTGCACTAAATTAACGAATTAAAAGTCTGTCCGGCTTTATCGAAGGGATTTTACCGCAGCCACAAGTGACGGCAAAGTCTGGAAAAAGTGCACCTATTTGCAGTGTCACTGAAGAGCTGAACAAACACGTATTGCTTTTCCAATCTAATGAGAGACAGTGAAGAATATGCTCATTGCAATGAAGCAAGTTCTGTACGGCGCTGTCTTGAATAAAATAAAGCCGAATGCTTGATTTGATACGCTGCTGCTGTGATCACCCCAAATTCTGCAAAAAAGAAAATCTTTCTACTTTCTACTCTGTGAAAAGCAGCACCAGAAATCAGCACATCAAGACTAATAATGTTTGTGTGTGAAAGGCTTTATGGCAGGCTACTCACTATCCTTCCCCAACAAGTTTCTCCAATAGGTTTCAGGTTCCACATGTTAGGAGGTGATGAGATGGATGGATGGCTGCTCTCCATGGCATTGTCCAGAAACCATGAACTCCATGTACATTAATGCTGATGGGGCAGCCCTAATTTATAACAGTTCGTCACCACTGAATGAAACCCTTCCTGCTCAAAGGAGTTCACAGGAACCCTGACCAAAGGGGTTCACAGGAATGCAAGCAGGATGTGCAACGCCTGGGAGCAAAGTCCCTGCAGGAGCCACGCTGGCTTGTGGGTCCGGGGGCAAGAAGCACAGGGCCACCACAAATGTTGCCTTTGTCTCCAAAAAGTTCCCAGAGTTCTAGGAGTTTTATGGGTAAAAAGCAAGTATAAATTCTATAAGAGTGAGGAGGGATCCATTTTGTTCCCATGGCCTCATTTTTCACGCAGATACAAATCGAATATTGATTGACTAAACCCATCATTCTGAAATTGAACAAACTAGAGCCCACACAATTCAGGTGGCCATAATGTTCTAAAAGACAACAAAATATTTCAACAGGAAAGCTAGATGTAAAACTCGGAGTACTTGTGGCACCTTAGAGACTGACCTGGGGTATTCTATCTACTACCCAAGATCCATAAACCTGGAAATCCTGGGCGCCCCATCATCTCAGGCATTGGCACCCTGACAGCAGGATTGTCTGGCTATGTAGACTCCCTCCTCAGGCCCTACGCTACCAGCACTCCCAGCTACCTTCGAGACACCACTGACTTCCTGAGGAAACTACAATCCATCGGTGATCTTCCTCATAACACCATCCTGGCTACTATGGATGTAGAAGCCCTCTACACCAACATTCCACACAAAGATGGACTACAAGCCGTCAAGAACACTATCCCCGATAATGTCACGGCTAACCTGGTGGCTGAACTTTGTGACTTTGTCCTTACCCATAACTATTTTACATTTGGGGAGAATGTATACCTTCAGATCAGCGGCACTGCTATGGGTACCCGCATGGCCCCACAGTATGCCAACATTTTTATGGCTGATTTAGAACAACGCTTCCTCAACTCTTGTCCCCTAACGCCCCTACTCTACTTGCGCTATATTGATGACATCTTCATCATCTGGACCCATGGAAAAGAAGCCCTTGAGGAATTCCACCATGATTTCAACAATTTCCATCCCACCATCAACCTCAGCCTGGTCCAGTCCACACAAGAGATCCACTTCCTGGACACTACAGTGCTAATAAACGATGGTCACATAAACACCACCCTATACCGGAAACCTACTGACTGCTATTCCTATCTACATGCCTCGAGCTTTCACCCTGACCACACCACACGATCCATCGTCTACAGCCAAGCTCTGTGATACAACCGCATTTGCTCCAACCCCTCAGACAGAGACAAACACCTACAAGATCTCTATCAAGCATTCTTACAACGACAATACCCACCTGCGGAAGTGAAGAAACAGATTGATAGAGCCAGAAGAGTTCCCAGAAGTCACCTACTACAGGACAGGCCTAACAAAGAAAATAACGGAACGCCACTAGCCGTCTCCTTCAGCCCCCAACTAAAACCCCTCCAACACATTATTAAGGATCTACAACCTATCCTGAAGGATGACCCAACACTCTCACAAATCTTGGGAGACAGGCCAGTCCTTGCCTACAGACAGCCCCGCAACCTGAAGCAAATACTCACCAGCAACCACATACCACACAACAGAACCACTAACCCAGGAACCTATCCTTGCAACAAAGCCCGTTGCCAACTGTGCCCACATATCTATTCAGGGGACACCATCACAGGGCCTAATAACATCAGCCACACTCTCAGAGGCTCGTTCACCTGCACATCCACCAATGTGATATATGCCATCATGTGCCAGCAATGCCCCTCTGCCATGTACATTGGTCAAACTGGACAGTCTCTACGTAAAAGAATAAATGGACACAAATCAGATGTCAAGAATTATAACATTCATAAACCAGTCGGAGAACACTTCAATCTCTCTGGTCACGCAATTACAGACATGAAGGTCGCTATCTTACAACAAAAAACTTCAAATCCAGACTCCAGCGAGAAACTGCTGAATTGGAATTCATTTGCAAATTGGATACTATTAATTTAGGCTTAAATAGAGACTGGGAGTGGCTAAGTCATTGTGCAAGGTAGCCTATTTCCCCTTGTTTTTTCCTAACCCCCCCCCCCCCCCCCGCAGACGTTCTGGTTAAACTTGGATTTATGCTGGAAACGGCCCACCTTGATTATCATGCACATTGTAAGGAGAGTGGTCACTTTGGATAAGCTATTACCAGCAGGAGAGTGAGTTTGTGTGTGTGTGTTTTTGGGGCGGGGGGGGGGATGAGAAAACCTGGATTTGTGCTGGAAATGGCCCACCTTGATTTTCATACACATTGTAAGCAGAGTGGTCACTTTAGATAAGCTATTACCAGCAGGAGAGTGGGGTGGGAGGAGGTATTGTTTCATGGTCTCTGTGTCTTATATATAATGTCTTCTGCAGTTTCCACAGCATGCATCCGATGAAGTGAGCTGTAGCTCACGAAAGCTTATGGTCAAATAAATTGGTTAGTCTCTAAGGTGCCACAAGTACTCCTTTTCTTTTTGCGAATACAGACGAACACGGCTGTTACTCTGAAACCTGTCATAGATGTAAAACTGTTTGTGATAATACTTAATGGTATTACTTCAACAATTACTTCAACTTTCCTCACAAGCATACGTTAATGTTAATACATTGCCCAGCTGATTGCACAATGGGGGACACCTCTAACTAAAACAGCCTACATCAAAACTCAAACGAATAATTATTTTGCAGATTTAAAGGATGGACTATACTCCTATGGTTGGTTATTTCAGAACAGGTTTCCAAGTTAACAGTTAACTAATGCAGAAGGTTTGCTTTGGGCTTTTCTTTTTCATATTTTCACTACTGTTTCTACCTCTCCACTTCACCTTTCAAGAAATGTTACAAAGTATGTTAATATAAAATAATTGCACAAAGGAAAACCACTAATATAGTATTGCTTCAATTCATGCATCATTTTAGCAGTTAGTTACAATTACACATGAGAAAATTACTAACCTCAGCTATTTTAATTTCCAGTTTCAGAACTAACTTCATATCAGACTCTGCCCGCGAGGCATTAGCACCCAAAAGCACTGCAGTATCAATCATGAACCGCAAAAAGGCTTCTCTGTACTGAAGAGAAAGAAGAATGAAATGAGCATTGCAGTTACGTCTAAGGGTGGCTGTAGCAGTAAAAAGAAAAGTATTCTGCATTTTTAAGTCATTGTTTCAAGTGGAAGATAAGCATTTTGTGAGACTGGTTTGATTCCACCACAGGAGAACCAGGGAAATAACACCATAACAGTACTGTGCTGACAGGATCTCTCTTGTGGTTCACTGAATATAGCTTTCAAAACATACCAAATGGTGTTGGATTGAGACTTACCTACACATGTTAGAGCTCAGAGAGTTAGTATACACCAAGCCAAGCTGTAAATCTACAGCACACTAGCATGCCATGCACTCGTGGCCATGTAGACTAGAAGTTCACTATGGTGCTTTGACGTACTACTGTATCAAACAGCGTGCCGTAGCTGGGTCTAAGTGGCCAGTTCATGGTAAGCTAGTGTGCTGTAGATTTACACCCCAGCTTGCCGTGCACTAAGTCTGTGTACAGACAAGCCTTTACAAAGGAATGGGATATGTATATTTGTATAGAAAATACATTCCTAGAACGATCTCTCTGCAACAACTCACTCTCCTCCTCCAGTCTTGCACTGACCTTTTGGGTGCCTTAGATCCTCTGATGTCTTAGAGGGCATCAGGTAGAATCCTATTGGCCAGCATTCAAGACAGGAATAAAATTATACTCCAATTAAGTACATATTTCACCTTCTGGTAGATGTAGTTCACTGGAGAGACACCACCTGGCCAGAGGGATGCCATTGGAAAACTCACTAGCTCACCTGAGAGCTGGGAGGGGGAAGGAAAAGGGTCAGAACTTGGATGAGGGCAATTGCTACAGCCCCATGAAGATTGTGGGGATATATTTATTGAGTCTGGGGTTACAAGTGCTGGACATTGCATAATTTTCCATTATACTTAGGGGAAAAGGTGTTGCAAGTACTAAATAATCATTGAACACTTTTGGACCTTGCAATCCCTACTCAACTGTGAGCATGAAGAGGTTTGGAAGGGGCCATAGGAAGAAAAGAAACTGAAGATCTTGGAACCTGTTGAGGGCCTCCTCATTCTGGGATTAAATACATCTAAATGTATTTGACGATAATGATCTAAAATACCAGAACTTAATACAGTGTTGGTGCTTAGAGACATTAGACCATTTTACATGGTTTAATTGAACCAAGCCAAAACTTACTATAAGGTTCAGGTTTGGTTCAGAGGAAAAGCAGAGCTGAATTATTTTTTATATTTTTTTCTAACATGAAGAATACTCTGGATGAGAACAAGAGACGTGCAATTAACTGTAGTATAAACAAGCATAAATAGCAAACCACAGAGCCCAATCTCAATTTGGAGCTCAGCTAAAAAGAAAAAATTCTTAGTGTGAAAATGATTTATCAAAACTCAAATTACTAATACTTACAGATTTAGCTTCTGTGGTATTATCAAGGTAATCTTCCCGTGCTGTTAGAGACAGGGTTGCTTGGTCCAGCTGTTAAAATAAACAGGAAAAGTATATAATACTCCTTATATAGTCTGTATTACATACATACACACAATTAACAGCCACCAATAGGAGTGGTATTTTTCTGGTGGTTAGAATAGGTGATATAGAGGCTAGTGGATCTGATCACCAGTTTGGGATAAACAACTGGCCATGCCCAAGAGTCCAGCTCTTCAGGACTCTAACACAAAAAAACTGTAACGCGTTCTTCAGCTAAGATTGTGGGGCTTTCTGGCCTGCAAGAGCTTAAGGCACTGACCTTAGCCCAGTGTAGGGGGGTCCGTAGGACTTTCCTGCTCTCTTGCAGCCATCTATTGCAGCCAGAGTGTGCATTCCGAGCCTTCTCCTGGTCCCAACCAGACTCATGAGACTGGGGCCCTCAATAATATCCCCTGACTGGGATCCATTAGCACCAATCATTAAATGTTGTCTAGCTGGGACAGATGATTCCCAGCTCCTGCCTGCTGGGCTCCTCTTCAAAACAGGACAGGCTGCTCCCCGGCTCCCCTGACCTTTAAAGGGGCACGCTGCCCTGTTACGCTGTCCTATAACACTAACGTACAATCAGTTGTGCAACACTGTGACAGATCCCACAGGAACTCTCACAGGCAGAAAACTTTAAAGTGCACTGCATGGCATTAACCACACTCAGACTGACCTCAACTCCATCATACTCAATGAAGCTTTAGAAGCCCCAAGAAATAAACAAACCACCACCTGCAATATAAATCAGATTGTCCTACTGTTGAAAAGATGGTTCTGAAACCTTTTTCAGAGAATCGTTATAGAGCATGTTTAGGGTTCACATTGATTTATATTTGCTCTGCAGGATGAAATAATCATGCCAGGATATTTGCATATTGCTGCAAGTCCTTCATCAGGCAAACTCCCTCTGAAGTCAATTTTTTTTTAAATTACTTCTGGAAACTCTCATTTTTCCCAAAGCACTCCTTTGGCTCATGTTAGACTGAGGTACAGACGCCCATTCTGAAGGCACAATCAACTTCAAAACACTGAATAATATATTGATGAGGCCACCAACAGCAGTGTGGTTGCTGCAAGATTCTACTCTGGAGAATTTTGTTTTTTAAAAATATGATGTGCTGCCCAATGAACAAACATTAGATGTACGTATATAGTTTTACACAGGCACATTTTTAGAAACAGAAATAAATAAATAATATCAATATATCATATTTATATTTATTAAATTTGGTGGGAGGTTTAAATAGGTGAATTTTTTTTAGAATTTGAAATAAATAAAAAGAACTGGAGTGTCATTTCTATGTCACCGGCTATTTGAAAGCTTTTGTAACATATCTTATACAGAATAATACAAATTATTCATAGAAATCACTGCCTCAGGTGGAACTTAGGAAGACTCCTCTAGTTGTTCAAAAGCGCACAGCAATGATACTCGACAGCTTTATGATTTCTGAGAAACAATATCACTGTACTATTTCTCAACATGTCCAAGTGAAAAGAAAGTATCTACAACATCAATAGTGGACCTTGGATGATTTTGTTTGTTTTAAGTAATCATCCAATGATTTAAATGCTTATCTGAACTTAGCCAAACTTTTTTGGTCTAGAAATCAGGCTTGAAGTCTTGGAAGAACAGAGTTTCTTCCAAATTTTTTTATACTTGGCTGCACTAGGGCTGGAAATATATTCTAGTTGAAACCAAGAAGTGCAAAGATGTGAGAAACACCAAAAGCAAAGGGAAGCTAACCAATTCCTTTAGCCCTCAGAAAAAGGTTCAGGTTGGATTTTGAGTAGTTTTTTTTTTTTTCATCTGAACCACATTGCTCATGAACCTGTCATACTGAAAGAGAAAGCCTAAGAACGTTAAAATCTCTCTCTTCTGGTAAATAGATTTAAATACTTCATTACACATCTACCCTCCTGGGAATTAATTAAAACATTTAGTTACTAAGCAGAATATTGGCAGAGGCACTCTGCAAATCGAGCTTCTAATCAAATTAGCAATGAGCAGTCATTCAGAATGTGCAGTTGTTCAGTTACTTATGTACTTAAATACTACTACGCAGATTCAGTGGACACACTAGTAGGTATAATCCGTCACTAGGAGACTAGCAAAAGGATCTGTCCCAACCAACAATTTACGTGGGTGAGTTGGGTTACCTAAATAGCTTCTTGGAAAATACTTCCCAAACTGATTCTAGTCTTTTACCCATTAGAAAAAGACCTTTGGCCAAAATATTCCTGCCAGGATCTGATCATCATTCAAGTAGTCTGTACATGGGAATCCACTAATGAAAACAAGGAAGTGGCTCGTTAACTTGATTTACTATTGACTCAAGGAGCAGTGGAAAGAATCTCTTTAAGGGTATGTTAGAAATATAAAAATGTATGTCAGTTGCATATCCCTGACCTGTTTTTGGAAACTGTGACCCAAAATCAATAACAAATCTAGTGTCAGAAAAGTTAAGTTTCCACAGTATCCCTATGCAATCTATGTAGTGCCCAGAAGGCAACTTTTATATAAGGATCACCCATTTTATTTCACTGTTGTGACCGGTCACTTTCCACTTTGCCTTTAACTCTCTCTAGCACAGACATACAATCTCATTGCTGGTAACTGGTGGGCTGGGTTATACGGTTTAAAAAGCAACAAAAATTTGGACCAAGTCTCACATGTTAACCCAGGTGACAACCTGCCTACCTAAATTCTACCTGTCCTAGTGACAACTACCTCCCTAAATTCCCTCTGGAGTTTCAATAGGATACAGCTAGGTAACATATTTTAAATCATTTGCTGCCCTAAATTGTTGTGTAGTGTTAGCATGCATTGCTAACCTGCAGCCATGTTATGCTGCAGAAGTGACTGCATTTCACTGAAAGATTAAGTGACTCCTGTATTTAAAGCATGAATGAGTTTGGGGATCATATGAAATGAATGATGACATATCAATATATGACAATATATTAGTTCCACCAATTAAGTGTCTAAAAAGGTGGAAAATCCCAAATTTGTAATACTTGCAAATGATACACCATCTTTTATCTTCACAGAAAAAAAATTCCTCATCATACAACTGATGCTTCACATATAGGACACAAAAACCAGCAAGAATCAGATTCTGACCTCATTTGGATACCCACATTGATCTTGGATATTGATTCATCAGGAATGTATTTTACTCACAATTCTGCCCTATTAAGGAATAAAATATCCTAGCTACATAAGTTTTTCACCCATGATAGTGTAGCATTTGGTATCTAGTGGCTTCTAAATTCCCATATATGGGTGATCATGTATATGTGCAAGCCACTGGGTACTAATGGCTACAGCTGAACTTAAATTAGCACAGTATTGAACTCACTTTCTTAAATGGATCACATAGCTATGACAAGTAGCATATTAGAAATGTTATACTGTACCTTTAAGATGTGATTATTGGAGGTTTTGTCATCAGGAGCCACGTACAAACGGATGAAGACCGAGTTACTATACTGGCCACGAAAAGTTGCAAGGGTCTGGAGCATGCTGAACTTCCTTTCTGACCATTGTCCTTCAGGTCCGATGTTAGATTCCAGCACAGGCCAACGGAACAGCGAATTCTTCAGTATATTTAATAGTGGCTTTGCATCCACTTTTTCAATTTTATCTTAAATGGCAAGATGTACCAACAGTTAACTTCCAGACAATTCAAATCCAGTAGTGGGTATAAAGTCATGCCAATGAGATAGAAATGTTTATAGACTGATCAATTTCTAGGCAAGACTAAACAGAATAGCTCAAACTTAATGCCTTGGCTGGTCTTTTGCTGAAAAGACGCCTCTGAAAATAAGAGTATATGACTCCTTTATCATAGTTTATCCAAATCAAGCATGGATAACCTGGGCAAGGAGAAACTTGCATTGCATTCAGCTGCTCTGTGCCTGTCCTTGGAATGTAAACCTCTCTATACTCTAATTCTACAGTATGTTCATCACAGCCAATGGAAGAAATGTTTCAGATAAATAATACATAGTGATGATCTAGGTCAGATTTAAAATATAAGGTAAGAATCGGCTTAGGTACTACAGTGACGAACTCTGTGGAAAACCCAAAGACTGATTGTCATTTGTTATTTAAGAAAATGGGATGAAAAACTACACTTGCCTTTTAAATAATGGTTGTGGTCTAACAGGGAATGAAATAACATGCAGTGACAAAATCCTGCTGGAGACTGCTCAACAACTGGCATAGGAGTTTGATTGGGTCAGAAGAATACTTGCTATTTGCAAACAAAATTGAGAGGGAATGGGAGTGGCCAGAGAGAGAATACAATGGAGTGTGCAACAGAAAAATCATTTAGTCAGTCAGCTTCACAGCATGTTGGAGCATCAAAAAAGAAATACTCCATAAGACGGAGTGGGGAGAACAACTTCTAAAAAAAATTCTGAGAGAACGACAGAGGAACACATTGAGGAACCAAGTCTACCAAGTTTGATCCCCCACCCCCACAAGAAACTGACTCAAGAGATTCCAGAAACTTTAAAGATAAATTGCTAACTGCATTTGACCCAGAAGAGACAAAAGTAAAACACATGTCACAGTACCAGCCCCTTGTGAAGACATTAGGGCATCATGAGATTTTTGGGAGGTGGAGGTTCTAGAGACATGCACAATCAGATGTGACTGGTGAAGAGACTGTGAGAGTTGAAAATGGAGATGGAGTTACAAGAAACCACAACCTAGTCTAGGGCTAGCTGAAGACACAACAGCTGCACTCATGAGAGGACAGAGCAAGGAATACTGCAGACCATCCCAGAGATACTTTGAGGGGGTTCTGCTGTCCGGGCCCACTTGAAGAGCTGGCTTGTGGGCCCTACCATTTCGATGCCCCCGATATAGGGGAAATAGGAATGCAAAGAAGAATTTCAATTTTCATTAGAAAAAATGAAAAAGTTTCTAGCTTGTTTATGAAAACAACTTGATGGAAATCGTTCGCTAAGGTCAAAGAGAACAAGCAGGGGAGGCCCAGCAAAAGACTGAGGGGCCTAAAGATCCTGATCTCATTCACTCTGCCACCCACCCTTTCAATGTCAAATGACTCCACTGAGTTTGGGGTGTGTCCCAAAGTATCACCTCACTGACCCTCTCCAAAATCCTCAGGCCATAACTGTACACACTAGTATGATAATAGAGGAGACACTTTGGTTAGTGTTGAGGAGCAGGGGTGACAAATATTTATTGTAGAGGCTGAAAACTGGCTATGTGACATAGACTCAGGGGTTCAGAGTGAGAAGCCTGAGGGCACAAGCCTCGATGGTAAAGTTTGGAGCCATCTGGTCCTTAGTTGCCAGCTGAACAATTCCATCAGAGGATTCTATAAAACAATTTACTCATTTAACCTGCCAGTCAATGCTCCCACATCACTTTGAGAGTCCCTTAAAGCATAATCACTTTTCAAAGGAGAACTACATAAATATAGTATCTTGTGCCTTTGTATATTCAGAGGCACATTGCCTGACTTCACTGACAAAATAAGACACTGAACTTGTAACTAGATCGCTGTGAGTGGATCTTTGCATTTGCTTGGAGCCTCACTTAGTTCAGTGAGTACAAATGTCAGCCTGCATAGGTACAACTGCAGGGACTAGGCCTAAGCTTTCACTGCTTTCTTCTGTTAGCACGTCAGAGCCTAATACAGGTAATATACAGCCCTCCCATGCCCCCAAACAAAATCAAGTTACTTACTCTCATTCATACACGATGAGTAAAGGATTTTGGCTTTCTGTACAGCTTCACTGTCCCGTCTCTTGCTGATAGGTTTCTGTAGCAGTGCTGTGAACATACACAGTAAAATAAGTTTCTCCCAGGCCTTGGAAAATGCAGAGTTTGGTTTGTTTTTTAAATCATGCCACTGGTTGGAAAATGTATCATTGTGGGATGACTTCATGGTCTAAATACCACTCATCTCCTCAAACCAACAGTTTTAAATCCTGGCTGGGTTGTCTCAAACCTTACCTCTTCCAGGGTACTTAAACTGAGTTACTCTAAAGAGTTGGGAGGAGAGAGAGCCAATAAGGAGGAGACTTTCAAATGACTTTAAAACCCAAGCTTTAAAGGTACAATTTTTTAAAAACTGCATTATGAAGTGAAAATCATTGCACAATATAGCTCATCCTTTGTCTTTTAAGGCAGGGTCGGGGAGGATAGAGCTTGCAAGCAGCTGAACAAGTCTTTTCATTCCAGGGCCAATGCTGTTCTATACCACTATTTACCAGGGGCACCTTTTCATTTTTTGGCCACTGCCTTTTCCAATAATTTACCATACCACTGTCCCCACTGTTGTCTCATATAGGAAGGGCACAAGAGTGAAGCTTGGTGATAACAGTCAATTCCATGCTGGAGGAATGGGGTAGCTTTCTCTCTACCGGGTACAGTACTAGAGACTATGAGGATGAGTGCCCATAATGGCAACTGTCTTCAGTAAGTGCTTAAGGAACTAAGCATTTCTCAGGAGGCACTCAGCACCTTGAAGGATCTGCCATAAAGAATATTACAAATACAACTCACATCCACCCATTTGAGGAGCAAAAATCTACACACAGAAAAAAATTGCAGAAGACAACAAAAATTCTCCTGCCAGCTACACTAACGCATGATGTAGCGCAGAACTGCAGGTGAAGTTCTCTATTAATACCTTGACAACAGTGTGGCTGTCATCAGTTTTGAGTGGTTAAAATTGTCTTATTATGACAGAATAAATACCAAAAATAACAACAACAAAAGTGGTTGGTTGGTTTTTAAAGACATTTTTAACATGATAATGCTATTTTAGTTTCAGATAAGAATCTCCCCCAGTCTACTGCAGGGCACAATTCTTGATAGATTTTATTTCAAATCTCAATCTTATCAATATTTCTGAGCTTCATAAACACAACATCATAGCTGTCACCAACATATCTCTACCAGAAGGCTCATGAGCAAAGTTCTCAATGGAAGTAGCTCAAGCCCTTTATTTTTTAAACAGGATTATCAGATCTGTCCAAGCTTTAAATATGAAATTTTAAAGGGAACTGTGATTCAGATCTCAATAAATCTAAAAATGAAAAATAGCCTCCTACTAAAGCCAATGCTATCATTTCTGTTTCTTGCCAGAGAGTTGCAACAGTCATGAAAATTGGAAGCTAACAACTTTGGATAGCTAAAGCCTAGCTAAAGCCCAGAAGAGGGGAAGACCATAAGCTAAAATAAAATAAAACCAACTCTAGAACTACACTAACATAAAATCCTATTAAAATCAGACCCGGTGCTTTCCACTGAATAACTTTTTTTTTTTTTTTTTACTTGCTACAAGAAGCAGCTGTAACACTCATTACATTACAGCAAAGAATGACAGAGAGCAAGACACTTCCAATTTGCTTAGAAAAAATTAAAAATTTTGCAAAGAATATTCTGACTGTGAAACACAAGAAGCTCAGTTTTCAAAAATAGGAATCTTAACAAGATGGTTAAATCCTGCATTTTGATCCTCAAATTAGGTCTTTGGGGGTATAAACGCTCTTTACAGCAGCGACCTCAAAGTTCAGATTTGGATCCAAACTGCCCCTTAGTTTAAGAGGATTCCAATCTGGTGTTCTGGTTCAGGCCTCTCCCTCTCTGCTTTTTGTATCCTGAGGTGCTAATGCGAATATTCAAATGCACAATTTGGACATCCTTCTATTTAAACTGCCATGTGTGAAAACTTTCAAGTACTAAAATTCTCTTTGCTACCACGTACTTGAGGAAGAGTGAGGAAAGAGGAGGAGGACCGGGTCTCTTTGTATCTATATCTACATACACAGATATTATAGGAAGAGCTGGTAGCAACCTCTATATTTAGCCGTGCGAAGGATTCTTGCAACCACTCCTGTGAGAAACTCTCACACCATTGTTTGCAGGAGGCCTTTGATATTGGGCAGCTGGAACGTGCTCGAGCTAGAGAAGTGCTTTTTCATTGTCTCAAGAAATTCTGTTCATTTTTTGCTGAGGTATAAACTGTTAAAAATTCCCATTTCTCTTCTCTTGCTTGTGTTCCTCAGGAAAAGTGTTGGCAGATTGCCAGAATAATAACTGTACACAAAAATTCTAAGGCCAGGCTCATGTCAGCACTAAAGTAGCAGCAACAGGAATATCTGGGAGCTGCCGGAGCAGCTGTAGTGGGCTAGGCAAGGGTCCCCCCATCCCCAGACCAGGCACATGGGCCCAGTGGCCTCTGCCCTCTTCTGAGAGTTCCAACATGGAGCAAGGTTTCATCACCCCACACTGCAATCTCCCCGCTTAGGCTGAACACCTGATCCCTAGCAGCCATCCCCCTGTCCCTCTGAGGAGATGGAGTTGCAGCTCCTCTAACTCCCAAAGGTAGGGAATAGGAAGCAAAATAGAGAAACTGCACACAAGATCAACCACCATCCGAACCCACCACATAGTCCATCCCACCCTCTGTGGGCACCAAGTGGGGCAGGAACTATGCCAATTCCTAGTGGGGGGCTAGAGAAAGAAGGAAGAGAGCCAGGCCAGGCTGGGATCCCCCTTCACAACCTAGCACTTGCACCCAATGGTCCACCTTCTGGGATAACAGCATTCTGCTGCTTACAGCCCATGTAGTTAGTCCTGAAGATCCAGTGGTTGCAATTTGTACTGCAGTGTTAATGGTTCAGAGTCAAAACTATGATGATGATGATGGGGGGGGGAGGATGGTTACAGTCACACATGATAGAACCTTTTTCCTTTTAAAACACCCTAGAAAATTACATTTAAAGCTATATTAAAAGAAACTTAATTAGTTTTCAGACTCAAGCACTCAAAAGTTAGAAAGTGTTAGATTTGCACTTACTTGTGCAACCTTAATTCCAGCGCCGTTGTACATACGTGTTATGATACAGTCTTTAATTACATAGTCCTCTATTACTTTTCCCACAAGATGCTTGCTTCATTCAGTGCACAGGATGTACAAGGGGGCAGAATTAAGGCTGCACAGGCAACTGTAAGCCTGGCATCTCCTACCTTTCAAGTGCTTGGCTTTGCAACCTAAATAATGTTCTTTTAATACAGATTTTTTAATATCACTAGTGTGCATGTTTTATCTTCTTATTTCGGTTTGTGAAAACATAGTTTCCTTTTAACCCTAAAGAGAGTGTTAGCCCTCCAAGGATCCCTTTCAAAAAATAACGCATAACAAAATTACTGTATGAAAACACAACTAATTTCAAAACTTTTAGACTCTGCACAGTCCATCTTATCAAAGAATGTGCCATCTGAAGCTGTGGAGATGCACAATACCATTCCGTATTGTCTCCTATTCTCTTTAACATGGGCATGCTTCCCCTTCTCTTGGTTACTTGCCAATATAACCTAACCCACTGGTGCCTGGTCTACGTGTCACTATTAGAGTTCATGTGTAATCCAGCCTGCTGCTAGCCACTACTGATAATTTGATTCCCAAGGCTGTTGAAAGTGACAAGAAAAGGGGGTCTGAGACATGGAGGAAGTGAGGGGGTAAAACTGATAAGAGAAGTAAAGACCTAAGAGGAGGGTTGGAAAGGTTAAAATTAACAAAAAGGAGAAATGACACTGATATTACTATGGGATGGAGGGTTCTGAAATACAGGGGAAGTGTGTGAAACTAATAAAGGAAGCCGGAATAGTGAGACACTGATATGTGCAATAAATGAAGGCAAGCACCACAAAAAGAGAAGGGAATGTAGGGTCTGTCAGCGTTACACAGATTTTGACAGTCATTTTGTTCTATGAATTGCTGCAGCCTGCTACAGAGGAAACACATGCTGTGCTAGAGACTTTACATTTCCTCTTTCTTCTTCTTGTATCCCATAAACTAAAATAAAAATCATTCAGAGTACATTGTTGCTCTTTGAGTCTTATTAGTCTTAAAGCTTTTTATTATTAATTATTATTACTATTATGGTGTAAGAAAAACAGAGTGGGGTGGGAGACCCAAGTAGTAGAGAAACAGACACATATAGGCCAAATTTTCAAGGGAGACCAGGGTCCAATTTTCAAGTGCACTAACTGGCCAACTCAATGGGCTTTGCTTGGTATGGGAAAGGAGGGCTCTGCTGTTATGCAGGTTGCAGAAGCTGAAAGAGTATGGCTTACCATGGCCGTCTGCAAGCCGAATTCTGTTGCCTGGCACTGCGTGTGTGATCTCTAACACCAAAGCTGCAGGCACTCAATATAAGATGCAAAATGCGACCTTGTACCAAAATCACATGTGCTATGTAATGTGAATAGTGTTGTTCACCGTGAAAGAGTATAGCCATTGTTCTGTAAAATGTATCTTTTAAAATACTTCATTCCCTTTTTTTCCTCCAGCAGCTGCAAATGTTTCAAACCTCCCTCCTCCGTCCCAAAGGCTATCTCAGATAAGGCAGTGAAAAAAACACACACGCGATGAAATGTTCTTTGAGCTCATGCAGTTGTCTGGCACTGACAGAGCTCATCCGAATGTGTGGAGGGACACAATAGCAGAGTACAGGACAGTGGCTGATGAACGTGAGGAGAGGTGGCAGCAGGAAGATCAGAGGAGGCATGAGGCAACGCTGTGGCTACTGCGGGATCAAACGGACATGCTCCGGTGTCTGCTGGAGGTTCGTGAATGGCAGCAGGATCACAGACTGCCGCTGCAGCCCCTGCTTAACCACCCTCCCTCCTCCCCAAGTTCCATAGCCTCCTCACCCAGACACCCAAGAACACCGGGGTGGAGGCTCCGGGCACCCAACCACTCCACCCCAGTGGACAGCCCAAGCAACAGAAGGCTGTCATTCAACAAGTTTTAAAGT